CCACCACTACTGGTCAACAAGAATCCCGAGTCCTCGGCGGGTACAAAGCGACCTTGAGTAGTAAGTGGTTATCGATACTACCTATCATAGCCCATCCAATTCGTTTCAGACCCCAACACCTCGGAGGAAGCCAAGCAACATGCCGAAGAAGTGCTCCAGGCAGCTGGCATCCAGGGCCGACAGGCTGGGGTCAGCAACGAAGAACATGATACCCGCGTGCTGGCGGGTTACAAAGCCGCTCTCCATAGTAAGCGAGAAACAGAATGAATCATATCAACGTTTGCTAAGGGTTGAATCCGCGCAGACCCTCGAGTTTCTGATGCAGCGAAGCAGCACGCGAGAGAATTTCTTGAAGAGCATGGAGCCAGTCTCTGAGTAACTGCATATCATGCAAAAAAATATACTGTATGTCCAACTGTATCGTCATCCTGTAAAGTCGCTGTCAATCTTGTAACATGATATGTAATTAAACCGGGGTATCCTACCGCTGCTATCATACCTACAAAGGGATGCCCTAGTTGGAAAGTTCTTCCAGTCTACTCAAAACTTTCTCGACCCGTTCCTCGAGGCTGCTCACGTTGCTAGCAACTGTGCTGCGATTTGCCTCCAAACTACCCTCGACATCAGTTACAGCACCTTTGAGGGCTTCGAGAGCTTCCTTCGTCCTTCTTTGCTCTTCCTCGAGAGAAGCCATGGTGCCTTGAAACTCGGCAGCAGAACCATGCAAGGCGGAGAGTGTCCGCAAGCGCGTCAGGATGTGCGGGATATGTGGAAGAGACGGTGCGAGGCGGGAGAGGAGAGGAAGGACAGCATCTTGAGCTGGCGTGAGTAAGGTCCCTGAGATAGTACCGCCGTTGGACTGGCCGGCTCCGGCTTGTTGGCGTTTCTGTGCTTGACTGGCAGAAACTCGCTCGAGGTCCGAAAGAAGAAGCTTGAGGCGTCTGGAGACAGAATCGATGTGCCGCGGTTGAGTAAGCAGAGTAAGTTGATTATTTAATCGCATAAGCATAGGGAGCAGCGGTGGGGTGAGGGGCGTAGTCTGGTAGAGTATGTCAGCGCGGATGGATGGTGAGCGTGGTCGACTGATGACTTACTTCGTCCAGGGTGGCGCTTACTGAGCCAACCAGCTTCTCGAGCTCCCCGACTCTCTTATCCATCTCTACAATACTGCGCACTTCCGGCTCGCTATTGCCCTTCCCATCCCCAGCCTTAGATTTACTCATATCAACCTTCACGACATCGCCATCCTCACTTTCCTCGACGCCCTCGTTCTCCCCGAGGACTACCCCGACCAATCTTCCACGACCTTCTCTCCCCCTCCTCACTTTTTCCAGCCTCCTCCGCACATCAACTAGACCTCGAATCATCTCGCCTGGATCAACCGCTTCCGCGCCATCCTTCTCTCGTACCTGAAGCGCAGGATTCGAGGGATCCGCAAGCTCTATCTCAAGCGCTGTCAGTTCAGCTTGCAACGCGCGAAGTCGCGCAGGGAGTGGGAGATGACGCGTCGGAGAACGCGAACGTGATGTTGAGCGCGATCGACTAGAGGAGGGCGAAGGCGGATACGCATATCGTGTTCGCTGGCGACCTATAATAATACAATCGTCCGCGATGTCAAACATGAATGAGTGCAAGAGAGTGGATTTTGCGCACGTCTTCGTTCCGCTTTCCGGAAGTGTTGACTAGCCTCCTCCGGACTTATCAGGTTGCTCACATCGAGTTCCTCCTGGCCTGTAGCTGTGCCGTCACCAGCAGTCCTACCCCGAGGACGTGCGGCTGAGGGCTCATCGTCGCTAGACTCGCCACCCTATAATTCACCACGCCGGAGCACGTTAGAAAGTCACGGTGACCGTCCATATGAAACTTACATCTGCGTGAGAGGACGGGAATACGTCTTCAGTTTCGTAGACATCTGGTGCAGTATCCTGGGGGATAAAATCAGTCCTGATCATGTCTAAAGAACTATTCACAAACAATATCAGGAAGATTCGCGTATTTGTTGGCGCTCATGATGACCAAAAAGAAGAAAGCAGCCAAGCTTTTCAGATTCTTGGGATTATGATCTGCGAACCTGCTGGTAGCCTTTCTGTTCTTCGCGGCGTTGCCAGCTTCAATACTTGCCCAAAGCCGGGCTCTCAAGTACCGTGGGAAGTTGCGTTGACAGCAAAAGAAAAGAGGCAAAAAAGCGTCACCTGAGCGATTCGAACACTCGCGGTCAAAGACCAACCGCTTTGCTGAATAGCAGGCGATCCCGTTAACCACTCCGGCAAAGTGACGATGGAAACCACGGGCCCATTGACCTATATTATTTGGTTATCATCGTCACCTACCTTCGCACTTGGTCTCGTTAACGAGACATTGGAATCCGACGCTCATTGGGCGTGCCAGGCCTCCATACGCCATCGGGGACTCGCATGCTTGGCATGACGCGCGACGAGATTCATCTGGTCAACATTAATCAACACTTTAAAGTACAACATCAAAGCATGTACATTAACACCAGGCATACTCGAAACGGGTGTCCACTCTCGAGTGTTTCGTTCCTGCTCGCAATCTTATGCGACAAGGTAATACAGGCGCCAGAGAAATCCCAGACGACTCTGTACCCTCTTCGCGCGCTCCTCCCCTTCAGCTTCATCGTCGATATCCTCAGCGTACTCGTCTTGGTGAAGATCCACAGTATTGATGTCAACGATGTCGAATGCCGATCTATATGTGGAACCACGGCCTCGAGTGCCAGTGCATATCAGAGGTGTTGACTCATCAGGGGGTTCCGAGGAGGGGTTACCTGGGGTGGAAGTCGGGCAGGCTAGCTCTGGAGTAGGAGCAAATGACCGCTTGGCGAGCATCCATGTGATGTACATAAAGATCATGACGGGTATCTCGATGTAGAATGACACAAAATCGATGGGCGAAAAGGTCGGGGCAAATGACGACCAGCCTTGAACTAAGCCAGTTGTCAGAGTGCGTACCTCGGGCAAGTTGTCTCGGACTTACTAAGGATGAGAGCCGTCACGGTGATGATCTAGGACAGGATGAGCAAGCAATCAGAGGAAGCTAGCCTGCGCAACTTACCACAAAATAAGGTCCCCATGGCCAAGTCCAGCGGACATAGAATTTCAGTTCATCGACTGATCGTCCTTGTTTGATCCACGCCTTTCTGAACCTCAAGCTCGCAAGTCCAATGGAAAGCCAGGCAATCTAAAAAGACATGATGACTCGAATGTCTTGCAGAAAATACGAGACGTACCTGATTAGAGACTCCAACGATATTTTGTAACCATCCCCAAAGTTGTCCACTACCGATGAAGCTACTGCCGAAGCAGAGAACACTGATACTACTAGTAGCCATCAAAGCAAAAAGGGGGACGCCGGAACGCGTAGTCTTGGAGAATATAGCAGGAGCATGCCTGTGAGGTTTGACGACCGATAGGCCATAGAGAACCCTCGTTCCTGCGAATAGAGCGTGGTTGCCAGCAGAGAGAACAGAGGTCAGAATGACCGTGTTCATGAAGGACGCAGCTGCGGCTGTAGGAAACAGTGAGAATGCATCCATAACCATGGTCGGTACGACATACTTGAGCCGGCAAGTTCAAACACAATAGTAAACGGGGACGTTGTGGTCGTCTTGTTCGACAAGTTGGGATAATTCCAAGGAACTAGATAGAAAGTTTCGATATCAGGGATACCTCGTCTGAATGTCTGACTGACCATTCAACCCGATAAGCAATATACTGAGGATATAGAACAGCAAAATTCTAGCGATTCGTGTGAGCACGGTGAGTATGTAGAAGAGGCAATGGAGAGACCTACCGCCAAAATACAAACTTCACGACTCTGGGCATATTGCGCGAAGGATTCTTAGTTTCCCCAGCTGTAATACCAAGACTTTCCGTTCCTCCGTCTGGAAGGGGGTTTAAGCGGAGGCGTTTACTGCTAGACCGAATTACTCACAGGCAAAGCTGGCAGTTACAAAGACTTTGGCAAAGCCTCCAAATCCACCGATAAAAGGTGCGCCAGGTATATTCCAATTGTGGCCTCCAATGTAAGTATGTGAATGATTGACACCGACATTAACCAGAATTCCGACTATGATGAAGATGACAATGGTCGCGACCTTGAGGAACGAGAGCCAGTACTCTACCCGTGCAATGAGATTTTGCCAATACGCGGCGGAATATAAGTGCTCACCTAATTCACCATATGCTCGTACGTGGGACGCGTTTACCGAGACAAGGAAGACCCAGAAGAGCAGACTGATCACCCAGGGATGCCAAGGGGTCCAGAATTGAAGGACAAGTTGGGCAGCCGTAAGGTCCGACGCAACAGAAACGGCATCATTGAACCAGTAGTTCCACGATAGAGCGAAACCATACGACGGCGAAAAGAACCGCGTCGCGTACGCGTTAAAAGATCCTGCGTACCGTGTTGAATATCCCGAGGACATTATACTAGGGAAGTACTTACCAGCAACCGGGTATTGTGTGGCCATCTCTCCGAGGAGTAGCAGGGTCACGTAGACTATGAAGCCCACGATCGCATAACAAATGAGCATGCTCGCGGGTCCTCCTTGAGCGAGGGACCTTCCCGTGCCTAGGAACAGTCCAGTTCCAATGGTCCCAGCAATAGCTATCATCTGAACTTGTCGCGCGGACAGTCCACGATGGAGTCCATTGTCGTGTGATGGTCCGGGTAGCACGCCATCGGTACCTTCATCACTGGAGTGCTCTTCGAGAGACCTCAAGCTCTTCCTCTTAGGTGAGGGTTCGGTGTCGTTTTGCTCCATGACAGCTAGTAACGACCAAGGGCCTCACACACGGATCCCGGGGGAAAATAGAAGAAACGAGAGTCCATCGGGCGCTTGATGGTCCTTTTATGCACAAGTTATTCCTGGACCCGAAGGAGATGGCAGCTGTAGTACGAAATATGGCGCAATTATGCGGTACCCCTAACGAATGAACCTCAAGGGTCATCAACCTATCCTTTTAGAGGACAATCACGGACAGATGGCCGAGCGGTCCAAGGCGCCAGACTAAGGAGACCAAGCTGTGATTGGACAGCTTAAGCGTGTACGAAGTACAATCTGGTCTCTTCGGAGGCGTGAGTTCGAATCTCACTCTGTTCAAATTTTTTGATTCTTTTCTTTTGAAGTGAACATTGAGCCTCAGCAACGTGCCAAAGCGGCAAGTGCCATAACAGTCATGATACACGAGTACGTAAGTATGGAACATGTTTAATCACGACAAGGAACAGCAGATAAGTACCAATCAACCTGGTTCTGTTACGCGCTACTGTAGCGCAAGACTTGCCATGATTTGCGTAAATTCGCTAGTTTCGCGCTGATCTCCTAGAGCGTTTTCACCGGATTTGAGAATTTAGTCTGATTATGGACAAGTACGGAATCGGTCGAATAACAGGCTTCTACCGGCATGGTGTACTTGCCTTCACCCGAACGCTCAACGAGCAAGGCGCAGGGTCAAAATTTCCATCCAGCAACGGCGAGGCGTTTGAAAGTCACGGTAAGCACCGTACCTATACGAGAGTAGTCAGTTATAGCGTTCTCAAGTCTACCTTTTATCTCCCAGAACCCGTCGATATACCCTCATAAACAATCACGCGCTCGTGCACCTGGGTAATCTGTGACATTGTATTCGATAGTGCCCGCGGATGTCGCAAAAGGGCAAGGCCTCTACCCTCAGACCAAAGATACTCCAGATGCCTTCCACTGCATCTGCCAGTTCGGCTGCTGCTACCAGTCCGATCACGCAGACTCCCAATCCGCCACTGACTTTAATCGAGTTCGTGAGCGCTACTCCGCCGCCTCTCACGCATGAGTTGGTAGCGCTTGCGCCATATATACAAGCTGTGAGACATCTTGCTGAAATTTTGAGCTGGCAATCGGTTTGGGAAGAGAGCTGGCTTGCTCTCGCCGGATGGTGGGCTTTCTGCCTGCTTTCGGAACCCACTCTCAAGTACGTATTGTTATTGAGGGGTTCGTGGCTGGTAAATGACCTCTCTCGCTCTATTTTCCAGATTTTTTCTGCCGATCGCCATCATGTTTGTGTTCACTCTGAAACGGTGGACATCAAGCAGCGGATCATCATTGGTCGCACCACCGCCCGCGACAGAAAGCACTGTTCATGCAGTTATATCCGATCTATCCACCATCCATGCTCTCCTCCCTTCTTCACCCTTCTCTGATTCGCTGATTCCGCCTTCACTGACCCTCATTCGCATGGCAGCCTTCACATACCCACCATACATCATTCTCACTTACTTCGTCCCTTTGCGCATCTGCATAGCGTTAACAGGAACGCTTGTGCTCATCCATCGAGCCAGATGGGCCCGCAACGCCCGCGCTGCCCTCACGCGCAGTGCACACATTCGATGGGCTTACTACCGCCTCTACTCCCTTTTCTCAGGCGAACCTCTCCCCAGACCTACTGCTCCTTCCCCACCCCCCGAATACGCATCTCGCCCGGTCTCAGGTGTTACAGATTTTGCCAGCGCAGCATCTCACACCTCCCAGTTCAGCGATGATGGCCCCGCTCCTCGCCCATCTCCGCCCCTCCGTTTCTTGTTCACCGTATACGAGAATCAGCGGTGGTGGATGGGTCTCGATTGGACGGCTGCGCTTCTCCCAGGCGAGCGTCCCTCTTGGTGCAGTGCCTCGCAGGGTCCTCTCCCCCCGCCCTCTGCGTTCTCGCTCCCTCCGCCTACAACCTCGTTTGTGCCCGTGGGCAGGGGCGGCAGAGCCAAACGCACCGCAGTCTGGATGTGGGAAGAACCGGAATGGCGTGTGGTGGTGAGGAAGGAAGGTCAGGAGGGCCTGTGGAGAATTGAGAAGACGCCGCCGAAGGATAAGGACGCAGCTGACGAGGGTACTGGGACTGCTGCGCGGATGTTGCGGGCTGCGAGGGGGCGCGACTCCATTGGGCATTCAAGCGGAGTGGGCGAGAGCCCTGAGAGAGACAGAAGCGCCAGTGCAGATCAGCACGTCAGCGATCCTGCAAGCATTCCGGGCCAGGAAGATGACGCTGTGACAGACCCCGAGGGATGGTTATATGGTGACAATAAATGGGAAGGAGCGAGTAGTAAGGGCGGTATGGGCAAGTACACGAGGTATCGCCGCTGGACGCGTATTGCTATACTCACTGAGACCGTTGAGTTGGTCGGCCCTGGGGAATTGGGCGTCGTACGTGACTCTGGTGCATTTAGTACCCTTGGTAGTGGGAGTACGGCTTCGATGGCTACTGCGGGCGCTGCATCACCTACCATGTCTTCTTTCTCTTTCTCGGACTCAGAGAGTGCGGCGACTGCCCCGGAGTCCCAGCAACCTGGAGGAGCGAGGGGTATGCTGAGACAGCGCTTGAAGGCTGCTATGGATGGGTCTGGACAGTAATGTCTTTTTCTCGTTGTAATACTATCATTGTTTGTCGTTATCGTTTGGGTACTAGGTATGGATCACTTGATATTGATCACCCTGGGCTTGATCACCTCCAGCTAGCGAAGTAAAGAACGGCTTGAGGCTCGTTCACTCAAGAATGCCTCCATACTTTAACAGTTCCATCAGCGCTTGCAGTGATCATCTCTCCGGCCTCACTGGGATGGTGCTCAGTCCACGTGATCACCTTATCATGGACCTTTGGAGGTGGATTAGGCTGTTGAATCGTTGCCTGTGGAGAAACATTATCAGAGGTATCTCCCAGCCACGGTGGGCCACTCACATCAACCAGATCCCAAGTCCAAACGCGTCCGTCTTCGTCGCCGCAAACAACAGTGGCTTCCTCGTGCCCGAAACAAGCTCGGGAGCGGTACGATTCATGTGAATGTCCGGTAAAGTCGTTCAGCAATTTCCCCGTGACCATGTCAAAAAGCCTGACATGAGAGTCAAGAGTAGCCACGAGGAGAGTGGTAGCGTCTGCCGATGGAACGACAGAGGTGACGGGTTCTGTGTAAAGTACCAGTTGAACGTGGGCAAAAGCTATCGCGAAGGGAACGTACGGCCGACAAAATCTGCTCGGAGTTCGCCTTTGCGCAGGTCATATGTGCGGACGTAGCCATCGACAGAACCGGATATGATGGTGGTGGAGTCGACGTGAAGCGTTTGAACTGCATCGCGTGCTTCTTCGAGGATTTGTATCGGTGCGCGTGCTGGGGCTCTTGATTCCCGTTTGAGGATGCAAAATTCTCAGTTGAAGAAAGATAAAATATGCATACCGCAGATCCCACAGTCTGACGGTAGCATCATAGGAGCCTAAAGAGAGTCCGAGATATATACTCCTACCATTCATTTGTGCGAGGGAAAGCACTGCTCACCACTAGCTAACACAGTTGCATCGACATTGAGTTCAACAGTATTAACCTTGCTCATATGTCCGGCTAGTCTGCGGGTCGTCACACCAGTAGCGACGTCCCAGACGAACACAGATCGGTCGCCACCTGAAGAAGCGAATTTCGCATTGTCGTGGCTCCTAAGTCGGCAATAAGAAGATGTTCAGTTAGATCACATACAGCAGATTGCTAATAGACATTCTTACACAGAAATGGACAACACCTCATATCCATGAGCCTCGAACTTCTTAATTTCGGTGCCCAACTCTGGGTTCCAGAGGCGCACCGTCCGATCTTGGCCACCACTCAAGACGTATTTGGCGCTGCCTTTGGCGTATCGGACGACGTGGACCGGTCCACGGTGGTTACTAAGAGTCGTATGGAGCTTGCGGGCAAGCGGTTGGGGGCCTCGTGAGGGTGCCATGTCCTAGTCCTACAACCTTGTAAGATATTATGGAGTCGATCACTGTCATGAACAGCGCGACCGTTTTCGGGCAATCATCAATATTTGAACCCGGAGTTGCCGGAGCCCCCCGCTACACGATTGCCCGATATGGTAAACTTTCGGTAGTCGCCCGCGATGATTAATGATATGTTTCCCCCTCACGCTATCTTACCTTCTTCCGCCATGGAGTCCAAGCCATTGAAACGTCGCCTATCTCCAGTTCCATTGCCTCCAGCAAAGCGTCAACATGGCGCCCGCCAGTCAGCTGAGAAACGCATCATCACCACATTCGATAACGCTATGTACGATGAGCTTATATTATTCATATTCTCGTTCCTCGATTCCAGAGACCTGTGTGCCATGGAGGCGACAAACAACAACTGCTCCAGACTCGCGCGTGACAATCAGGTACTTGTATCCTTCTTGATGTGAGAAACATATATTGAACATTACTGGTATTACGCTGCTTGCGTCGCATACTAGCTCTGGAAGGCCTTGTTCGTCAGAGAATTCGGCAAGGCCCGTTTAAGAGGCGGGAAAGGCTTCCATGGCCGAGCAGACGGACGGACGAACAAACCGCTGCCGTCTCGAGTATCCGCTCCAGCAGACGAAAGTCTGAATTGGAAATGGATGTATCGTATAACCTCAAACTGGAGAAATGGTGGGCATCGTTGAGGCAACTCTCACGCTATGGCAATCTCATCCACCTGACAAAGGACGTTGCGCTATCGAGAGCTTGAGTGATGGCGCTCCAAGTCCTGGTTTGTCCATACGGAGTCGGGCGTCGGATCGGGAATCATTCTCAGGGCATAGATCATCCCAAGTGTTACTAGCCGGAAGTCTGACGATTTCTGCGTCCTCAGAAGCGTCATATCAGCCGACCATTTCACTGAGAAGTCGCACTGATGTTTTGCTTATCCTCAGATGCAAATCTAATATTACAAGCGGACCGGTGGGAATATCTACTATAGCTATTGATCAGTCACCCCCAGCATCCAGAGCATCCCCTCACGGACCCAGTGTCCGTTTCGCTGTTGTTCTATCAACAGGGGAGTTCAGCATCTATGAATACGACCCCTCATCGCCATCACTGTTAACGTCGCCGAAACTTGCCTATATTCCCTCATCTCGTCACCGCTCCCATGTTATGCACGCTGCATACCATCACCCGTTGCTTGTCACTCTGTCCCAGACATTCACGCTTATGATATACGACCTCGGCGGTGACTCTGTTACCCATACTCACTCGCTCAGCTCATTTACGAGTCATCCGCCAACCTCTCTTATCCTTTCCGCCATGCCATCTTCGACTTCGTACAAGCTGATATTAGCTTATGCGATCCCCG